CGACACGTTCCTGGCGTACACGCCGTTGCACCCGATAAAGGAGATGTCTTTTTCTTCCGTCTATTCCTGCACTACAAACCCGCTGGATCCTTCGAACTTCTTAGGACAGTCGACGACGTAATTCGCACCACGTTCCAAGATGGTGCAAGAGCAGCGGGCATTGTCAAAAACGATGAAGGGTGCAAGATTTGTTTAGGAGAAGCCATCTGTTTTGACACCGGCAAATAACTGCGAAACATGTTCGTGACTCTTTTTCTCGTTGGAGCCCCGGCCGATCTTTGGGAACACTTTAAACCGTGGTGTACGCGACACTTCCGCATGCCAATGTCCGAGTTCGAAGCCGAAAACGCAACCCTTCGCGAGATCGACCTTGCCTTGCAGCATCACGCACGAACCAATGAACATGTTGGCTTCCCTGCCGTTATCCATTAGGACACAGACAACCTACGTTTGAGACCCAGCCGAAATGTTCGCCTGAACGAACGAACATCTCCCGAATCTCTCTTCTGAACAACGACATGTTTTCGACAACGTTGTCGGTAACGTAGTGTCACTTTCGCCGAAGTTGTTTATGATCGATGCACCTGCTGGAACAGATGAAACCGATACTATAAAGGTTGGATGTGCCCACCACAGGTCAGCAAATTGGTACTCTGTGCTGCAAGTACCAGAATCGCTGGTCTCCAGCTACCTGGTGGTTGGACCGCCCATTCCATGTTTGAACTGCCTCTCGAAGAAAACGATGTTGCTGGTGCCATGCGCAATATTTCTGCAGAATCTCAACCAGCAGACGTCTTGCGAAAATGTTTGTGTGTGGGATGAAGTTCCAATCAGTCACCGTTACTCCATCGAAGCTCACGCTCCAGGACTTGATGAAAAACACAGCCATCGTGGGAGGCAACATTTTTTTGCTGTCAGGGGACTTTCGCCAGATCGGAACCGTTATCAAATACGGAGGACCCGCTGAAATCATTGACGCCTCCCTCATTCCAAGCCTGCTGTGGGTACACGTCAGCCGTTTCCGCCTGACCGTGAAGATGCCGCCTTCGCCTCTTTCGTGCGCAACATTGGCATTGCCATGCAACCACACAAAACGATGGACGATGAAGCTGATACTGTTCCTTTGGCACTCGACACGAGTCGTCGGACGCATTTGTCATTGACAACACTGACTCCTTCGAAGTTCTCATCCACTTTGTGTATCCAGACATTCTAGATGCAGACCCGACCTCATTCAAGACACGCGCAACCATGTCGTCCACAAATGACACCATCGACCCCCTCAATGAACACGTCCTGGACATTCTGCCAGGGGATCTCACAGCATACAGTTGTGACAACGTCGACCAGTATGCTAATGATGAGTTAGATTTCGTCACGTCCGCTGATCTAAACACCTTCAATATAGCCGGTATAGCGCCTCAAAAGCTTAATCAACGGTCGAAAAGCATTTTTCAGAAAGTTTTCTACCCGTGTTGTTCATATTCAACTATAACTTGACGATCAAACGTCCCTCGTTCAATTCCACGTATACGGTTCCAAACAAAGATAGGCAGAAACGGAACAATTTTCTCAAGATTGCAGCTCCCACTTCGAGTTTGCTACGCCCTCAAAATAAATAAAACCAAGGACAAACGCTCTCCAAAATTGGACTTGATTATTTAAGATCTGATGTATTTACGCATGGGCAACTCTATGTCGCGCTGAGCAGAGCTCAGAACCAGTCATGAATAAAATGTTTGACATCGCCCTCCCGTTTACGTGGCTACCTACACCGAACTGCTTTCGTTGGCAATGTTACCTTCCCAGTTTTCGTCAATGCTGCAACAGACTCTGCTCTGTCCTCGCCCCCATTACCGCCACACTACGCGCAATTCATCGGTTTTACACTTGAAGGCGTCTCCAACGGCACCCACGCCGATCAAGACGTCCAGACGCAGCCACGCCACCCCAACCAACATGTAGACGGGGGGATTGAAGCTGAAGGAACGCCCATCCGAGCAAAACGACGCCATCCCCACCAAAACGCTGACGGGGAATGGATTGAAGCTAAGGGGTCGCGCACTTGACGTCGCCACTACAAGCGACGAATGGTTTTGTGGCGTCGCGTGTTCAACAGTTGACGTCATGTTGGATCTATGGCGTGGTGACTCCAATAATGTTGCGCGGGTATTCAGCAGTTGAATAAATGTTCGATCCGTGTGGCGGTTCTGTGGCGTTGTCATGTGTCATGTTCGAGCTTTTGCGGTGTAGTTACCCCATACTGGCGGGTTCCTTAGCGAATTGTCGAAATATTGTGTCGTCGTTTGTCCAGCTGTTCATTTAGTGTTCGACACGTATCGCGGTTCTGTGGCGTGGTTCCTCTATGACAGATGTCGTGTTTAAACTTTTGCGGTGTAGTTACCAAGTTTTTGGCTTTGTTTTTCTGTGGAAGGTGGTGTGGTTTACCGAGTATTGCCTTTGGGTCTGGTTTGTGCCGTGTCCTCGAACCTGTTGCGCGCTTGCAAAGCGTTGGCATGTGTTGCCCCTTGTACGGAAAGGGCCATTTTCGTTGCGTGAGTCTACGTATCAGTTAATAACACACCATGGCGGCATCCATTGGCCAATATACCTGGTTCATCCTAATCCTTTTTCAATTTGATCAAGAAGCACGTATTTTGGATTCGATCTTGAGCGAGGAGGCGGAAACCGCCAGACCCCTTGTATTAGCCACAAATAGATTTGAACACGCGCACGTCCTATGTGTTTGCGGACGCATGCACGTGTATGTTCGGAAACTGCCTTCATGGTGGGTTATACTCACAGCTGTCGATACGGTCTATCAGTGGCAGCACAGCGATGGCCCATGAATAGGGGCGATGAATCAAAACGTGCACAACTTGTTAGTGCTAGTTGCGTGTTGGCATGCGGGATCACCACAGCTATCGACCAACCGGCCAAGCGGCAGCCATCTCCCACACAACCGACAGTTTTGTTAAATGGCCCATTGGTAAAAAACTATCCAGCTCTCGCCCGTTCGACTATCATTTCATGTTTTGCCTTCTTGAGTCTCTTCTCCATCAACCGCTCTCATCCGGTTCCGCGAGGGGTGGCAGTGGCCGTGCTCAGTCGGTGGGGAGGCACACCGTTGTGCGCACAAAGCAACGTTTTTCTCCGTCTATTTTTCACGTCTCCTTTCAATCTGCTGACTTTTTGCCGTTCGGAGACACAAACCACGTTTTCTCCGTGCCTCCAAACCACCCCTGTCTGTTTTTTTGTGCACACTTGACGAGCTCTCGGAATGCATCAGACGGCCCAACGTCGACACGGCGACTCTAGGGTCGTCCAGATCCCTATATGAGCTTGCGGCGTTGATTGTGCCCTGCGGAGAAAGGGTTGATGTTTGTGACGGAAGGGGCTGTCAGCTACTATTCTCGCCGCACTTAGACAAGATTTCCACGACCTGACCCATTTCAAAGTGTCGCTTGAACATTATGTCCAACGACCGTCCTTTGACCCATTTGAAAGTCTTCTCGAAGATTTTGCCGAAGATTTCTCCAATATGGAGTGAAACAAAAGTCTTGTTGCGCAAATTTCGGAAACCAAGTTACCGAAGGCCCCCGCCGCCCCAAGTGGGTTGGGGGGCCCGAGTCGCAAGGAAGAGAAGTCGAGGACATTGAAAAATGGATAAAAAGGACAGACGGTCGCCCCGGTGGTCTAGTGGGTAACCTCGCAACCTGCTAAGGGCCAGGTCACGGGTTCTAGTCCCGGAAGAGTGAGTTATTTTCTCACTAAATATATCCTGGTCTAGGATGAAAGCGATTCGCTGCAAAGCTCGTTGTTAGAAAACCATAATCGATTTCGTAAGTCGCGAGGGAAGGGATTGCTGTACCCTTCCCGCGATAAAAACATCTCAGGCATGAACCGCAGGAGGGGGGGCCTGCCCCCCCCTCCTATGTGACCCCGGTTGGGTCGTCTAGCTAGTAGAAGTGGAGGATAGGGGCCAGAGGGGCAGACGACAGAGTCCAATGATGGGAGAAAAAAAAAATGTCCCGTGCGAGGGAGGGCTGAAAGGCGACGCATGGCGTGATACGTGATGTCCGCGTGAGTACATTTGAAGGCGATGAACAGCGGGGCCCCAGAAGGGACTGTTCTCGTGGAAATGCTATTAATTAACCATCCGCTGATGATGTGGGCGTTCTCGATATCGTTTTTTCAGTAGTCTGCAGGATTCAAACAAATCATGCAGAAGGAAACTAAACAACACGGCGGAGAATGACTAAAATACGTGCATCATAGTATGTTTGTGACGGTGGGACCGCCCACACTGCGGCAACAAGAGGCGCAATGTATGCGGCTTGGTGTTCCCACAACAACCTACACATTGAAGCCCGAACAAAACACACAAGGCGAAAAGCACACAAACGGCGAATTGATTATGCACAGCAGGCCAAAGTTGACTGTATTCTATGTCTATGAGGAAGCGAAAGCGTGGGTGATCCAATGTTCGTGACGGTGGGACCTCCCACACGGCGGCAACGAAAGGCGCAATGTATGCGCCTTGGCGTTCCCACAACAGCCTACATGTTGTATGACGGTTGAAATATCCAGGTCCTCACGCTTACTTTCGTACCCGCGAGTTCCAGATTACAATGGCCTCAAGGAGAAAAGGGATCCAACGTCAAATCGCAACAAGTACGTCCAGGGTTTGTTTCCTTGGACAGGATCAGGAACGGCAGTCATACCGAAAAAAAAAGCCTTTACGGCAAACTGGTGGGTGACGTTCAACGTACTGGTAATACGCGGCAACTATGGTCAGTCTGGGACAATTTGTCCATTTAGATTTTTCGCGATGTCTCTCGAAAGAAGTCGATTCAGGAGAAAAATAAGCCATCTTGGTGATCCCCAGAACAAGGCGAACACCATACAGAATGTGTTTTTTTCGACAGCCCCACACTAATATTAAGTAAATTATGAGCTACCCCTCCGAAATATCTCGCGAACCAGATATTTAATTCAAGTTTGGAAAAAAAAATACCCCTGGGGAATTTCTAGAGCTGTCCATATCCGGTCTTAAAAATATTGTCTGAATAGAACACACCCCAGCAAAAAGCGAACAAGATATTACGGTTATTCCAACATAAACGACGGACCAAAAACAAAACTTAAAATCGCTTTCCACAGGGACCTGCGCCTGGAGACAGCGCGTGTGCCGGTACTTTTGGTTTTCGGAACAACCACCTGTCTGTGTGCAGAGAAACAACTCCCTAAGCGTAGCTCGGAATTGTGGAAAAATTGTCCCAGACTGACCATACAATGTACGAATCTCGAACTTTGTCGAGGGGTGAAATGAAGAATGTGTGGCTTGGCGTCGAGTGCAACATCTTCACTGCAACGTTCGTAAGGTGTATAGAACATCACATTAGAATGGCGGCTCCGTGTGAAACAATTCTTCAAAAAATCTGAGCGGCTCCGCTGAGCTAGCGGTTTGTGCACAGCACACACCGGATTAGAGTAAACGTTCGCCATGTAGGGTGTGGCGTGCGTCGAAGGAAGTTGACGAATGCAACATGTAGCTGTCGTAGGCATTTCGCGTTGGAGCGGAACGGCGAGGCACGTCATACTGCGTGATGACCACGGTCGGCGTCGGATGCACACTGCCGTTGACATGTAGCAGAGTAAATCAAGCCTCCCCGCTTCATACAGCTACAACAGTGTTGCAGACGATGTCTGTGCTTCTTCACGGCTTGACGGCCTTCCGTACGCGTTGCATGACCGGGTTAACATCCTGAAATCGTATTGAGATCACATGCAGAACCCGTACACCCAAGACGTGTAGAGGGAGGGT